CCCTTCTCCGCCCAGAAGGGGGCGCTGCACATGGTGGCCTCCCAGCCCGCCACCTGCAGATCCTCACTTTGTGCCGTGCTGCCCTCATGAGACATTTGTCGTAACATGCATGCTGTTGGATTTCGGCCAGGACAGGAGACTCCACATCCTGGCGCACTGCCCCGCGGGCCCCTGCCTTGGGCTGAGCTCTTGCCGCGTCTTGCCTGCTGTCGATTTTTTCCCTGCCAGGTCAGTGAGCAAGTGGCGGAGACTTTGCGCATTTTAGAGAAGTTTCAGGCAGAGTTCCGCAAACGCTAGTGCCTGTGGAGAAAAACTGCCGTTCAGTTGGAGCTCCATGCATGCACTTTTTTTTGGTTTCCCATGCGCATTCTTGCAATTCGCCCAGGTCATCATCGTCTTCGACATCGATCTTCGAGGCCATTTGATGTTCACATGCAGTTGTGTCACATGTGCATGCCCATGAACTCACGCACGCAGCGCATTTTGGTTTTGTAGTGCATGGTCATATGGCTGAAGTAGCTGATTGCGATGTGGCTGCTCGGGTGGCGCTTGCCTGGTCCGAGTTTCCAGTACTGAAGACTGCCGGGGCCCTTCGCTTGTAGAGTGTCGCTTCCTTGGCGATAAGTTCTCGCACGCTAAGTTGGGATTTGGCTTCATCAAGCAGCACAATGCGCAGTTGTTCGAGGGAATCGTGACTCTTCAAGATTGCGCCCTCAACTGTGAGGCCATGTATGTGTTGCAGTGCGCTTGAGCTTTCTTGAGCTGTTGATCGGCCAGGTGATTCACGGGATCCTGCGAGGCTTTGGTTCGAGCAGGCTCAGCGAAGCGAGCATTGCCCAGGCCATCTTGCTGCATTACCAGACTCACAACCTGGTCCCGCATGGCGTCCCCTTCGAGTCCTTCCAGAAATGGTGCAAGAAAGGCGCGTTCGCTTGCAGGCTGATGTCGAGCAAGTTCAAGAAGGTCAAGAACAGCAGCGAAGGGGCAAAACTGCCAGCGCTTCGTCAGCTGAAGTCAGACTTGAGTGACGTCAGCACTAAGGGAACGCCACGGGTGTCTCCGCTTCAAGATGCCACGGCCGACAAGCCCAACGCCCTGGACTTCATGGAGCAGTCTGGGATTTGGAGCTTCTTGGAAGCAGAGCTTGAGTCACAAGCTGCTGCAGTAGTTCCGCCCCAGGATGAGCCAGCGCCAGAGTTGTGGGACTTGTTGATGGCAGCTGCCCCGCAGGTACCCAAGCAAGCAGAAGATCTCCATGTGCCTGACTTTGCTGTGGCCTCAATGAGCGTGTGTGCCACAGTTTCTGTATACACTTTGCAGGTCCTTGACGCCATCGCGAACACGCCGGCCCCGCCCCCTGTGCTCCTCACGCGCAAGGAGGACGAGCCAGAACCAGTCACTCCCGAGAAGCCGTGCACTCTGCCGCTGGAGCCCCGAAGCTCGTGTGTGAAGTCGGTGTGCAAGCTTCGCAGGCAGCGGTCGTTTGCCAAAAGGGTAGCCTTGAAGAGGCATGCAGCCCGGGCCACTGAGCAGGCAAACTTGCCTGGCAACTGCACGGGGTTGCCAGCCGTGCACAGCAGCACTCCTTCTGCAGCCGAGCCTGTCCAACAGGCTGTCGTTGCAGCTGAGCCTGAAGAGGCCGCCAGTCGACCCAGAGCCCGGCGGATCACCGCCACAGAGCCCCTCGCTGAAGGGGACACCTGCAAGAAGTTCTGCAGCCGGGCGTACCACACAGCTCGCCGGATTGCCCTCCAGTCTGGCTTTCAGGGCGAGCTGAAGCTCCACTGTCAAGCTGCCTCCCAGCAGGCAAAAGATCGGTGGGTCGCCGCTGAGCGTGCTCTGACCGCAGGCACACGTATTTCAGCTTCATGTTCCTTTTGTGACTCCTCTGACTGCCAGGCTAGCCAGCTGCCGAGTGATCAGGGGTCCTAGCAGCTGTTTGAATCGTTCGATCTGGGTGTAACTTTGCATGCCCTGCATGCGCTTTCGATATATGCGGGCGATTTGCCCATGGGGTGCACTTTGAGTGAAGCCAGTGAGTTGCTCTTTGTCAGAAAGCTGCCATGCACGCATCCACGCATGCAGGTCCAGCAGTTCATGCGACAACCACTCGTGCATTTTGCAGTGTTGGGCTGCCAGCCATGGTGGTGTTTGAGCTCTTGCGTGTTAAGGCCCCCCCTGTTTTGATACTTTTGGTCCTCCTTCTTTTGCACAATGATGGCCTCCGCTCAGATCCCACGGTCAGCTTCTCAGTCACTCATGGACGTTGTTTTTTTCAGTCACTCATGCATTTTTTAGGGCAGTTGTTTTCGTGCGAAGGATGCCCCCAACGATTTCCTGGAGCTCTTCAGTGGCACTGCGCATGCTAGCGCGCAACTTCGCCAGGACACAATGCGCAAGTTTGAGCTTTCTGCCTCCCCTGCTGCTCAGGAGGGCTTTCGAGGTTGCAGCATGGACGTCTCTGATGCCAGTGAGTTTGATTTGCTCAAACCTTGTGGCTTCCTGCCGTGGCCTCAATCAGACTCATGCGTGACACCTTGCAAGATTGAGTGCGCAGTTTCAGAATCTTTCGTTGTCAGGTGCGCTCTTTGCGAAATACTTCGCTTACGGCGTGGTGGACTCCTGATCATCGGATTACCCTGCAGTTCCTTTTGCAGACCGTGCCGCACTTACTGCATTTTGATCAACCTCACGTGCAAATCACTTATGCAATTTGCTGCATGCATGTGCTGCATGCCCACTGGCAGGGCGCAAGCGAATCACGAGCGCTCCGTACTGTTTCCTCTTGGAAACATTGGCTTCAGTTTTGTGCGGTGCGGCAACAGTTTGTGCAGCCGCGTGGTGTTGCTGATGCAGGCTGCGCTGTCTGTCAAAGCCCGCATTCTTCTTGAACAGCCAGCTCAAAGCACAGCCCCGCTGCACCCGAGACTTGCTGACTTTATGGCCGAGTTTGTGATTTTTGTGGTGAGGATTTACCACAAAAATTACCAAGCAGAGACTCTCAAGCCGCAAAGCTGGTGGTCCAACGACGAGTACATCTTGAAGCGCCTCTGGCTGCACGCAGGTGGCTTTCCAGCCTCTCAACCTGGAGAGGCGTCGGTGCAGCTGGTCAGCCGCAAGACCAGCGAAGTCTCTGGTAGAACTTGGTGGTCTGGCAATGGCTTGCTCAAGGGCAGTCAGTGCGCCCCAGCCAGCTTGCTTGCCCACCGTGCATGTGCCGATATTCATACTAAGGTCGTACACTGTCTCCTTCGGCAAGCACCTCGCTCAGATTCTTGTGGCTGCCTTTCAGATGGAGTTTCAGGCACACGCATACCTCCCACGTTGGGTCAGAATGCGAAATTGGCTTGGTCGTTTGTAGCACGCATGCCGGCCCGCAGGCGACTTGCTGCTTGCCCCGGTCGCCGCCGCAGATCATGGAGGACAAGTCGGACTTCGAGCTCTTCCAGGACTTTCATTGAGTCAAAAATGTTGTTGAGTATGAACTGTAGCCTCCGCAGGCAATCAGCTGGCCTCCCGTAGATCCCTGGCATGATGCGCGGGCCTTACAGTTTCCACTAGCAGGTTGCAACGGCTGCAGAGCCTTATAACTGCACGCCCTTGAATGAGTAAAGCTGATTGTAAGGCCGGCGTTTCTGAGAGCTTAGCATACCTTGCAGCCAGCCGAAAGTTGAACCCGTCCGGGTCTTTTGCAAACCTGCTCTTGCCAATAGCCCGCAGCGTCATATCCGGTCAGTAGAAGATTGCAGGTTTTGCCCGCGCACTTTCGCGCATAAAAGCCGCACATCGCGCATAAATACCGCACTTCGTGCTTAAAAAAAACCTCCGTTTTCGGGTAGTTTTTGTTCCTTGTGTCTTTTGCGTGAACGGTTGCAGTCATGATTCGCAAGAGCATAACGTCGCAGTTTTTGCACAGCCAAGCCACGACTTAAGCATGGCCGACAGTAAGCTCGCTCAGCTCAAAGAGCGGCTTTAAGGGAAGGCTCCTTCGCCAACTGAACTGGCAGAAGTGCTCGGCGTCACAGAGGCACAGGCACAGGAGTTGCTGCAGGGCGCTCAGCAGAAACAGTCTGCATCCAAGTCTTCGAAATCGGCCCCGAAGAGCAAGGCGGCCGCAACTGAGCAGTCTGCATCCAGCAAGCCTGCAAAGCGCAGAAAGAAAGCAGAGGAGTCTGAAGCTCCTCTGGCCGAGGCTTCTCCAGCCACAGCTCCTGCCTCTGTACCTGCAGCCCCTTCAGCTGCAGCTTCTCCTCCGGCCACAGCTCAGGCCACTGCTCAGATGGAGGCCACAGCCCTGTCAGCTGCAGCCCCTCCACCGGCAGCGCCGTCAGCTGCTGCAGCCCCTTCACCTGCAGCCACTTCGGCTGCTGCTCCTACAGCTGCGCCGGCTGTAGCTGAAGACGCCGCCACAATTCCTGCCCTGGAGGCTGAGGATGATGCAGGCGGCGCTCCGCAGACTGTGCCAACAACCCCTTCGCCCAGAAATGACTCGCTTGACCGCGCAGACACTCAGCCCATGAAGGAGTCGGCTACGAAGGCCGGATACTCAGTATTGTTGAATCCAATGAAAGAATAGTTTTCGGTGCGTTGTTCGGACTGCCAGGCCAGCCTCGATGGATGGCTTCAGACTGCTCAAAAGACGAAAGAAGTCGTAGAGGTTGACACGCCCGCGCAGGACATGCTTTGATCGTATGTGTACCACGATGCACGCACGCATGTTCCAATCGCTTGCCAGGAGAACGCTGAGACGCATGGAGAGCCCTGCCCTCGATCGGTTGTCATATATATAGCGATCAATCTTTCCTTGTTTGCGTGCGCAGGTCCATGCATCGCTGGTGCGCGCCCGCCACATTTGCGCAGAGCAACGGAAGACGGCTGTGTCTCGGGAACTTTTCCCTTCAGAGCTTGGCCCTTAACTTGCAAGATGTCCATCTTACAGCACGCACATCCACGCATGTTGAACTCTTCGTGTTTCATGTCGCAGGGAGCCCCACCAGCAGATGGCGCTGGCCGACGAGCAGCAGAACTGGCCTGATAGCCAGCCTCCTGAGATGGAAGCCGCCGACTCTCCCACCGACGTCGAGTTGGACGGCGAAGAGGTCTCAGGCGCCGAGCCCGAGCCTGCTGCTGTCAAGAAGGCGAGCCGCAACGCATACTACAAGATGCGCCGCTTTGCGACCAGCCCGAGAATCACGCAGTTCCCCCACATCGCCAAAATCTGGCGCGCCGGCAGTGAAGACCAGAAGAAGGACCTTCTGAGCCAATGGGTCACCACCAACGGCAATGCTTCCAGCATTGAGGCCACGTTGAACCTTCGCTCCAGCATGTCTCACAAGCTGGACGAGGTGGAGGAGTTGCTGACAATCAAGCAGATGAAACAGCGAGATGTGTCGCAGCGCCTTAGCTCTTGTTGGTTTGTGAGTATTGTTTGCATCATGCGTTTGCCACCAAGGCAGAAAATTGATGCCACCGTGGCATCCCAGCCGGGCGTCCCAGATCCTGCCTGTCCCGCTAGCAAAGATGACGTCCGGTACTGGATCACCATGAGTGTGAAGCGGGCAAAAGCTCAGTCCACTGAGCTTGAGTCCACTATCAGCGGCCGGGTCGATCCACAGGCGGCCTTTCAAGCGATGAATGGGAGCGGGCTTCTCTCTGCTCTTGGAGCCACGCGGATTGCTAGCAGTAGTGGCCCCTCCGTGGCGGATATGATCCCCGGGGGCGCCATGGCCATGCAGCAGTTCGCAGCAAGCGTAAGCCCTGCAGCATCGCTGCCAGAGCCGCCGGCTACACAAGGCCTCTTGCCAGATGTAAGTCACCCCTGCTGGTTTCTCCTGTTGGAGGTACACCAGCGCCGAAAGCAAAGCCTGTTCCCAAGAAGAAGGCCAAAGCGCAGCCAGGAGATAAAGCTGAGCTCGGGCCGATGGGTCTCCGCGTTGAGGGGCTGACGCTTGCCAAGCGTATGGACAAGTTGCGCCAGTCTCTCAGTCTTATATGTGTTTTCAAATTCACACATGGTTGAGCGCATAAGGTCTGGAGCTCAAAAAAGAGCTCAATGCTGTGAACAACCTGCACCTTGACTTGCCGCTTTCGCAAGCTGCCTTCAAAGACGATCTCACTACTGCGAAAAACAGTCTGGAAAGTTGCTGGCAGAGGCTTGGCATTTGCGCATATCTTGTTTTGTTGGATCCGCTCGCGTGCAGGATTGCCACCTGGCAAAAGATGGAGCAGTGGAACGACGGCATCCAGGGGGTCGCCGACGAGGCTGCACTTGCTTTTCACCTGTGTGTGTGCGCTCGCCTTTTTGAGTTTCTGTGACAGGTTGCGGCCGTGCGTGTGAAGAAAGCCCAAGTCAAGGCCACCATGCAAGAGCTCAAGAAGCCGCTGCCTGAGAAGCGCGCATGCGTACCATGCCCGCAACTGTGACTTATAAGTCAGGTCGTACAACAACACGTGAGAGCGCTAAGAGCGGATCGAGCCTGATTTTGTGCCAGATGATCGCATCCGCATGGTGTAAAACATGCACGTGTGCAAATCGGTTCGCACGCGCATGCATATATAGCCACGCGTTCTGCACTCGCACAACTTTGTTGCAGGCGCAGTTCGATATGTTCTGCACGGCGCGGGCCTTAAGGTTTTAGCCTCTTTTCTGTTTTTGCTTTCCCTTTCTCTGCCAGGTGTTGATCGACCTCCTCGACCTCCTCGACCTCCTCGAGTTCAATGCATGCGCACACATGAGTCGCCACACATGCACATCGTTCGGACGCATGCTTCGATCGGCTGACATGTGCGCCAGGTGGGGCAGCTGGCGAAATAGACTTGCTCCGCCGAAGTCTTGACGAACGGACTGCCATTGCATGCGTGCAAATATTTCATGCGACATTCATTGGCACGCCCTGTCAGGATAGCTCGAGAAATTGGCCAAGGCTCAGCAACTTTGAAGACTGCTGTGAACCTTGGATCGGCGTATAGCTCATCTGTGTTCACGCACCCAAGCTGCACGCATGTGCGGTTCTGTTTGCAGTTGGGATGTACTTCATGTCATGCCTAGGCAGTCCGCCCTGAAGGAAGCGCGGGCTCACCAGAAGCTCAGAGCAGCCGACCTGACCTTCGACGCCCTGGTGACGTACTGCACATTGCCCGTGCAAGACGAGCAGGGCATGCAGGTAGAAACGCAGTGGCCCTTCCTCCTACCGCACACCATGGCCGGAGCCTCAATCATCAAACCGTTTCTTTTCACAGTGCCTGTTGCCAGTTGACATGTAGGTCGAGGCCCTGGTTCGCCACGGCTACCGTGATGTGCTCGGCACTTGCAGCGCTGAGTATTGGCAAATGCAAGCCGCGCATGGTATCACTGCGCCCGGCCCTGACAGCATTCCCCTTTTGCTGTTCGGCGACGAGGCCGAGTGGAACAGCTGCACGTATATGGCTCTGCATTGGATGGCGGACTGCGCCGATGTTCGTGTGCAACAAGATTCTCGAATGTCGCGATACTTGATTTGCGTCATTCCATCACATGTTCACTGCCACGAGGAGGATTCCAACATCAACTACACATTGCAGGCTGCGTTGCAGCACATCGCGCAGAGCTTCGACTGCCTTCGAGCTGAATGCAGCGTGCGGGCGCAGCTGGCTGGCATAAAAGGCGACTGGAAATTTTTGTGCCAGGCCTTAAATTCTTGCCGCACATACAATCACAACTCTTGCTGCCTCTGGTGCGACGCGACGCGCGATGGCGCATTTCCATATACCGATGTCGCTGAAACAGCGAGCTGGCGCAGCACATTGTATCTCAGCGATCCATGGGTGACCCCGCCAGCTCTTGCTACCTTGGGGGGCATATCGTCAATCCTGCGCATCGTGCACATCGACTTGATGCATGCCATCCATCTGGGGGTGGGCCGAGATTTAGTCGGGTCCGTGTTGTACCTCTTGGTTCATGCGAGGCGTGGTGGAGCATTTCGTGGATCCAATATCAAAAAACGCTTTCGCCACGCCACGACTCTTTTCCTTTCTTCGCCGCACAGCAAAGGCTTCCCAAAGCACTTCTTGATGCACAAGGACTGGGTTGGCATGCGCAGCAAGAAGCAATATGTGGAGTGCCACTCCAAAGCCGCCCAGACAGGCTCGCTGATTCAGTGGCTGGCAGACTTCCTTGGTGAGTGCACCGACGAGGTAGCCCCCCGCCCCTTGAAGGCATGCGTGTGGTGCTTGAACGCCGCAATGACTGTGCTCTTCAAAGCCAGGGCCGCTGGCCAACACACCCTCACCGATGCTCAGGCGAGGCAGGCCCATGAGTTTGGCTACACCTTCCTGAAGCTCTACCTCCAGCTTCATGCCAGCTACCGCGGGAAACTGACCTATAAGGTCTTCAACCCACGGCCAAAGTACCACCTCCTCTGCCACTTGTTTGACGATCTTGTTCAGAACCGCCGCAACCCGGCCCGCAGTGTCAATTTCATGGACGAGGACTCCCTGCGAAAGACCGGCCACATCATCAAGAAATGCCATGCTAAGACTGCTGCGCTCACCGTGCTGCAACGCTACTTGGTGGGCTTGAAGCCCAAGATGCAGGAAGCGTTTGAGATCACCAAAAATAAGGCCTGGCGGCACGAGCCACCATCCAAACTTGAGCCATCCTGACTTTTTGCAGGTTTGAGCCGCGCTCTCTATGTACACTCCGAAGGACTTGCTTATAGTGTGCGCGAATCTTCTTGTGCATCTGACTTGCCAGGACACAAAGCAAGACCACGTGAGCGGGCTTGCGATTCGATGTGTTGCGGTACTAAACAGAGCTGAACGCTGTATAGGGTTTTTGGAGTCACTGTTGCAAATGCAGAGTTCAAAACCGTTTGCCCCCATAATATATATTCCCAATTCTTAAGGTTGACCACGGATTGAACATGGTTATAGGGGAAAACAGGGTTAGCCGCTTGTCCGCCGGGTAAGAAGGGAGGATCCCCCATGGTTTCCCAAAAACGATTTGGTCCCGAGTCGAAACGCGTTGGAAGTAAACGAAACATCAAACCATGCACGCACGTCAACTCATCTATTATCCATATATGCACTGGAAAAAATATAGGGCACACGCGCGGGTGCGAGGTGTCAAAAACCTCCAAAAAAGATAAGTATGAAATCATTTTTTAAGTACTAAATGAAGGTGTGGCCACATTTTGAGTAAGAAATGGATCTACAGGAATTCAACCATTTCGTGAATCAGGACACCGGTCCCATGGTCGCACAATTGGCGGAGGCAAGGCATGGTGAGATCATTGCCGGACTTCAAAGCCAATCGGAGGCCATGAGACGTGAGATTCAGAAGAATGCGGAGCAGCGTGCGAACACCATGAAGTCAGAAAGAGATGCCGAGATGAAGTATCACAACGCCATGACTACGATCAGCGAGCAGGAAAAGCAGATCAGGGAGCTGAAGGCCATGGTTGAGCAGATGATGCAGAATCAACAGCAACCGTCCGCTCAACCTGCTCCGGCTCCTGCACCTCCTGTTCAGCAGGCACCAGCTACCCGATTGGCCATCCCAACAATTCCTTTGGCCGCATCTCCACCCGGACTTTCGAATGCTTCCTCGCACAGTTGGACGAAGGTCGGGAGCGACCCCTGCGGCAAAGACGGATCCGTTCCCGCCGGGGCCGTGGACGATGCTGCTACCGGAGACGGTTGGCCTGGTGATGATGGCGATGGTGGAGATGACAAGGACAAGAAAAAGAAAAAGAAGAAGAAGAAGGACCGTAGCCGACGCAGGCGACGAGATCCGTCATCTTCTCCCTCATCATCTTCATCGTCAACTTCAACTGCATCGGATGAATCGTTTCGACGAAAGCTACTGAAGCACTTAGGTAATTCGAGCGATCCGACAACGGAACGCGTTCGTGTAAAGGAGGGTGACAGAATTCAGATTCCCCGATTCCCGAAGCCCGAACAGTACCGTAATTGGAGGATCAAAGTTAGGGATGCTGTTGTTGCTACTTCTGATCAACCCGAGAAGGCACTTGAGTGGATTGAGGCAACTTGGATCCCAGGTCAAACTGTTGAAGTCCTTCGTGATTCAGGCATGTTTGTTCATCTTGACGCAAAGCTGGCGTCGGCGCTGACGAACATCTTGGAGGGTGACCTCGCGCGGCAAGTCGACATTTTCAAAGAACAAGAAGCAAAGGAGAAACGATACGCGAGGGGACGCCAGATTCTTTTGATGGTTCACAAGCACTTCAGCACGAACATCAAACATGGTGCAATTTACGACTTCGAGGACTTGCTCTCTGTCCAGCTCATCAACGAGGACCTCAAGAACTTCATGACGAGATGGGACACGGTCATCGCTGGAATGGGCAATGAGCAGAACGAGAAGACCCTCGAGGCGCTGTTCCACCGCCAGATTCGAAAGTTTCGATGAATACGAGCGGGCTGAGGAAGGGACGGAAAAGCACTCCTATAAATTCTTGATTGATGCATCGAGGAATTGTTTGGAGCGGAAGCGGCTTGTTCACATGCGGGATGCTATGTCGAGCAACACGACGGGACGTGGCCGGACTCCATCGAACAACCCTGCTGTTCCTGGAATCCCTAAGGGTGTATGTGTGAAATTTCAGACTGGCCAATGCACCTATGGTTCAGACTGCCGATTCGAACATGTGAAGGCACCGAAAGGTAAGGGGAAAGGCAAGAAGGGCGGATCAAGGTCTCAGACCCCAAGGAAGTATCGTTCGCAGAGTCCCCCTGGTTCAAAGCCCCAGGTGTGCAAGTTCTTCAAAGCGAACAGATGCGAGAGAGGGAAAGTCTGCCCATGGCAGCACCCCGCAACTTCCAAGGCAGCTCCAGCCCCAAAAGCCGACAAGAACACTAGTGGAGACACCCCCAAGACATCGCCGAGAGAAAAGAAAAAGAAGAAGAAGAGTAGCAGGCCTTCTTCTCAGGATTCGAAAGGTTCGAAGGGCTCTCAGTCCCTCAAGTCTCCGCGATCGTCAAAAGGCAGCAATGCGGCGGTGTGCCTCCTTCAGGCGATGGTGTGCGCCGCGACCCTCGACTCGGTCGCCTCGTATCCTTGCCTGCCTAGTGTGAGTCACGATGTTTGTCAGGGTATGCCATGTATCAAGAAGTGTGTGCAATTCTCAGACTACCCATCTATTGCGAACTATGAGACTGACGGCGAGCTTTGGCCCTACACTGCCTCGTCGAGAAGGTTTGCGCAAGAGTTTCCTGTGGATTACATTCCAAAGTTCGATGAGAGGGCTGTTTCAGACGCAACTCTTGTCGGTGCTATGCATGAAGCAATGGTGAAGGACATGCTCAATGGCACGAAGACTTCTTGCAAGTTTCAATGCGACTCTGATTTCGGCTGTAATTCCTGCATCCCCGCAGGCCTAACGGCCGAGCCAGAGAAGCCTGAAATTTCCCCCAAAAAGGGAAATGCTGCTGTTGCTTATCTACCAATGGATTCTTCTCACATTCCGTGGATCGCGGACACAGGTGCTGCTCAGGATTTGCTGTCGAGAACGGATGCGGAGACGGGGGGTATTTACGAATCGTCTCAACCACTGAAGTTTTCCACTGCCAATGGGAATATTTTCGGTACTGAGCAGGCCAATGTCAAGATCAAACAGACCGATAGTGTTGTTCGGCCGTATGTTCTTGACAAGACTCCATCCGTGTTGTCCGTGGGTATGAGATGCCTCAAAGACGGATATGATTTCGTTTGGAGAGCACACAGCAGACCTTATTATTTCAGACTCCCGGATGGTTCACGCATCAAGCTCGAGGTCAAAGACAATGTACCATTCATCCCTTCAGAGACCCAAAATGCTGTTCCAGCTTTGTCACAAAGCATTCCACAGGTTACAACTTTGCCATCAGCTCCCATTGAAATTGAGGATGAAGTTCTAGTCATTGACGAAGAACCAGAAGCTGTGGAAGAGGTGTTTGTGACCAATGAGGATGATGGGGACGAATTGGGAAACGACGATTTCTTGCTTGAAGATGCTATAAGCCAACCGGAAGGTGAGGTCATTGAAAAGTGCCATGACATTTCCTCTGAAGATGCGCCTAAGGTCATCGCTTCCGAGTTTGTGTCTAAGCCCGTTGTGAAGGATGCTCCTCGCGAACGCGGTGAAGCTGCTTTGCGTGATGAGGCGACCTCACTCCAGCACTTGATGTGTCACACTCCCAAGAACCCCTTTTGCGAGACTTGTAACAGGGCGAAGATGTACAAATATCCATCAAGACAAAAGGGAGGCTCCACTCAAGTCGAGGCTAAGACTCATTACTTCAGATGATCGTGAAATCGGCATTGATCAATCTAGAGTTGGACTTGTGGTTCGAGATGTTGCCACTGATTTCCGTTATGTTTACCCAGCAGCACGGAAAACCTCTCATCAATGTGTAATGGCTTTCAAACACTTTGTCCGCACCGGGGAAACCGTGAACATATTTTACAGTGATCGGGCTCCTGAACTTGTGAAAGCAGCGGATCAATTGGAATGGAAGCATGTTCAAAGTACAAATTACATTTCCAAAACGAATGCCATTGCTGAGAGGAATGTCAGGGCTATGATCGAGGGCACGAGGACCAACCTGGAACAAGCTGGTTTGCACCATACATACTGGCCACATGCGGCCAAACACTACTGCATGGCGCACAATATCACGGATCACCCAGATTATCATTCACCTTGGAAGGTACGTTTTGGAGAAGATTTTCCCGGACCATATTTGCCTTTTGGTTGTCAAGTCAACTTTTGGACTGGCCCGAGGAATCGACCCAACAAGCCTTTGAAGTTTGAGCCCACTTCCAGGGCCGGAATATTTCTGGGGTATCCTATCCATCCTGACTTTCTTTGGCGTCACGAATTTCTTGTTATTCCTTTGCGAGATTTAATGGAGAAGGACTATGATCAACCCATTGCTCCGCTGAGGGTGAATCAGATCAAGTGTCCGGATGGTGAATTCTCTTTTCCAATGGTCGAACGGCACTTATTGCACATGAATGGCGTAATGCCAGGGCTCGAAGACGCCCCCGAAACGCCTGATCCAGCTGCATTAGATGCGCCGCTCTTTGAGGAGGATTTGCCGGCAGAGATGCCAGGTCAGGATGACATCATTGATGATCAGGAACTCGCCGAAAACCTCGGAAAGCTGATCAAAGTTTCCCCCGAAAAGGGACCCGCATCGGAAGAAATGGTCAAGGTCATCGATTTGAAGACCAGCAAGGACACCCTTGTTCCTAAAGATGGAGGTGCTCATTACGATGCGGGGGGTGTGAAAGCTCGGAGGTATTCGGGATCAAGCAAACCCGACAGTATTCCACCTTTTCTTTGGAAAACAATGTCAATGAAGCAAAGGAGACTTGCTATCATCAAGGAAGAACGAGAGAAGGCTCGCAAGGCTTCCCCCATGAGCCCGTCTCCGAGGACCCGGAAGCTTCTTCCTCCAAGGCTAGGCCGGCGACCGCTGCAGTTAACAATGGATTGGAGGATGAATTTTCAAGCAGTCCTCTTATGCCTGTTGAACCTTGCGTTGGGAACTACTCGAAAGAGAAGACTGTTGAGGACGCGTTGGATGTTGTGGTTTTGCCTGCACTTTCGGCGAATCCCGAAGTTGGGCAACATCGTTGCAAAGTTCTTCAAGCTCAC